GTCAGAGGGTTATTAGAAGTCAGGAGACAGCAGAAATGTTTTAAGAATGGTTAGTACAGACAGAGAAATATTTTGAACAATGAGAGGATCCAGGTGACAGCCAGTTCTTATTTACTGTCTGAGAGTTTTAAAAACAAGGCACTTCGTTCTCATAACTTGTCTCTGACTTTCGCCCTCGAATCCACTACTCCTCATTCAGACAGAAGACTAAATGCACACTTACTTCGTAAATAGACATTTAACTGTATGATCCAAGTCTAATGAGGTTTAAAAATCATTAATACTGTTTCACAGTTGATTTAAATGAGTGGTTTACTTCAACATTTAGAAATGGTATGAACTAAACACACTTTTGATTATCAAGATATTGTAAAATAGTAATTATAATATAAAAAAGAAGAGTGTTATTTCAATTGATTAATTCAGGATACAATTAAATAGTCTCTTGATGAGATAATTTGTATTTCTGTATTCAAATCAATGAAATAACAGTTCCTGTCCCCTGAAGGTCTTCAGAGACAGATTGATGTCGGAGGTCTAGTTCACTACAGAGGGACGGAGGGTGGAAACGTTTTTTTAAAAACATTTTATGTACAAATTTTTTATTTTTTTTTATCATTGAAGATTAAAAATAAATGAACAGTGCCAGATTTATCGTGAAATCCTGTTTTCCCTTTGACTTTATTAAATAATCTGTTAGTTAAAGGTAATTCAACTGAAAAATCATTAAAAGACTAAATGATTGGATCTCTGAGGAATATTTCCCTCCAACATGTTTAAAGAAGAAACACAGCCTTTGGTTCAACATTACTCTAACTCACAGATGTACAAATCACAAAACAAGTACTACACTTTAAATTAAAGCTTCAAAGCTAAAAATAATCTGTATACAAGAAACAAAACCTCAATGAGTGCAAATACATCAAATGATGAAGAAAAATGTAGAATTTTAAATATAGATATCCTGATGCATGCTCAATAATCCAGGTAGAAAAATCTAAAAAAGTTAAATCTGGTCCTCTGGACGTTCAAAAAAACAAAAACAAAAAAAAAAAGTAGAAATGTTCTACTTTCATCCAAAAGACTTCTTCAGTCTGAGGAGCTGTATTCAGCTCAGTCTTATATAAATAGCTATGAGCTGTAGTGATAGTAGTGTAGCGTAGCAGAAGTGATACAAACATTCTCTGGAGGCAATTTATATTCTGTGATAGAGGTGTGTGGTGACGTGGCTCATTACTGGGCAGCTGTATGCCACCACACTGTGGTGAAAACAAAACATTACATGTCTAATATATACAGCACATAATACAAGAGGAGGTCACAAACTTGAACTCTTCACAACCTTCTGCTCCTGCTCACTCCTCTACTGCCTACTCTAGTACTACTTGTGTACGTGTGTGCTCACACGATGCTTGTAGGCCTCAGAAGCCACCGTTTGTGTCACTGGGAATAAAGATGCTAAAAGGAGAAATGCCTCTCTACTGCTTCCTGCCTCGTAGTCAACGCTGAAGACGCTGCGATACTCATCAACCTACATAAGTAAACACTTGATTTAATAACTATTTTAGAGTTAATGACTCAACAAGTAGTAGCCTGATCAACAGCTCTCCTTGTGTGAATAGAGCACGCTCCACTTCTCTCACACATCCTAGTCACAGTCTAAGAAACACAGTGTAGCCTAAGTTAACTTTTAGGAAAAAAAATCACTAGCCAATATGAAATGATAATAATAATCATTCCTTCTTACTAGTGGCCTAGCATAAAGCTATATGATCATCATCCATCATGTTTATTAGTAGCTTAAAATACCTAATTAAAACTCCAGTAGTGGTCTAGGTCTACTGTAACCTTACCCAGTTGCAGGGTCAAGAGACAAGCGTTTAGCGTTAACACAGTATATTTAGGGGTTTCTATAAGAACATTATCCAAAAAAAGTTCAATCTGGTCCTCTGGACATTCAAAAAAACAAAAAACAAAACAAAGCAAAAAAATATAGAAACTTTTCGTCTCTCATCCGAGAGACTTCCTCAGTCTGAGGTGCTGTATTCAGCTCAGTCTCTTAAATAGCACCTTCTCAGAGTGGATCAACCAGTTTGCTGCTGACAACCAAAACCAGCTGCTCACATGCTCAAGAAGGACCATCAGCCTAACAATGGATCATTAGCACCTGATGGCTGTTTACTGTTCACAGAGGGCTGAGTGATACTAGCAATCACAGCATTGTAAGAGGGGGACAGTTGAACCCGGAGGCCTCCACCCCTGTTTAATGATGGACGATTTCTTTTCACAAAGATGGCCTCCTTTACTCCTCTCTCAAACCATCGTTCCTCTCTGTCCAGGATGTGAACATCTTCATCCCTGAAAGAGTGACCTCTGACCTGGAGATGAGTGTAGACCTCAGAGTCCTGGCCTGATGATGTTGATCTTCTGTGCTGGGCCATCCTTTTGGCCAGTGGCTGTTTAGTTTCCCCGATGTAAGACTGATCACCCTCCTGACACTGAACAACATACACAACATTACTCTGTTTGTGCCGGGGGACTGGATCTTTGGGATGAACCAGTCTTTAATGTATTTTGGGGTTTAAAAGCCACTGGGACGTTGTGTTTAGAAAATAAACGTGTCAGTTTCTCTGATACCCCCTCAGCATATGGAGACCACCAGATTGAACTGTTTTTGGATGTTTCTGCCTGGATTATTGAGCATGCATCAGGATACAAGAACATTATATTTTTCTGGTACAGAGAACATTACTCTAGTTTTCCTATTAGTTTGGTTCTATTTATGTATGATCTCATTAATGTTTTATTTCCCAAGAAACGAGTTCAGTTTGATGTTTCTATAAGTGACGAGTTTCTCAGCTAAAAGTAGCATTTGTCGGAGCGCAGAGAGCAGTGGCGCAGTGGGCTGAGCCCTGGATCACTCCCCGAGGCGCCGCCTCCGATCCTCCAGCCGCCGCGGCTCACCTCCATTGGCTGTCCGGACTGCCGAGGCTGGCAGGCGATAGAGAAGGATCCCAGCCTGGCGGATCTTCAAGCTGCGGAAATACCGAAATAACACCTTGGCCTCGGACCTAACAGACTGGGGCTTTACGGTCCGGACGGACCAGGAAGAACCGGAAGTTTCCGAGTGCAGCGGAGCCGGGATGTGGTGACTCGACTCCGCCGCAAAGACGGGAAGATAACGTTAGCCGGAACGCTAAAGCTACACCACTGTTTCATCTTTAAGATATTTGAAGCCCTGTTTCAGGACTGCTGATGTCAGACATTGCAGGACGTGTTTTATATGGCATATACTATAATGTTGTGCACTTTGTTTCAAACAAATAGAAGTTAAACAAACTAGCTAGCTTTAGCCACCTAGCAGGCTAGTAGCTGTCGAGTTGAAACTGACTCGAAGCCAAAGATTCCTGTTTCAAATTAACTAGCACGTCTGCGACTCTTTCCACGCCACTAGCGCTACTTCACTGCCACTTCTGGAGTGCTGCTTGTGAAACATTTCAACTTTGTATTTGAGAGATGAGTGTTTAGACACGCACAGATCAAACTCTTCCAGATAAGTATGCCGTCTTGCTAACGCTGTTAGCCGGCCAGTTGTGGAGCTGTCCTGCTCCTGCGAGGCTTTGAGGCCTGAAGGAACGTTCCCCTTGTCCTGGACCACAGTCCCGAGCCTGACTCTGGCTGCACTTATGCGTCCTGGATATTTCTCAACTTTATGAAGCTCTTACCAACTGCATTTTGCTTCGCTTCGTACTCAAAACTGTGGATTCTTATAAGAAAGTTTGGATTCTACTGCAAAGGTGAGAAATGTAAACACTTCATCCATTTATTACAGATGATGTTATTTCAGGTGCGGAGTGTTTCTGAGGGTGTCACTACCTTCATTAGTTTGACACAGTGCACTTCATGATCCTGTCATCGTTTCATTAGGGAGCTGAACTGATGCATGTTGCTTCCAAGGAGCCAAACTTCATGTAACTTTTCAAGTGGTCTTTTGGGGGCTCTCTGAAGGCCTAGTAATGGTTTCTATACTGGTTGCTTTTGCTTTCTACTCCTCTTCAGTTCAGTTAACATTTCAAAAGGAATGCTTTTTGTTTGTTTGATAACCAGCTCAACTCTGACCTATGAATCATCCAGGTATAAAAGGCTTCGAAACTCAAGGGATGAACAAGTTGACACAAAATAAACAATTCATCCGTCCACCCATTATCTTCCGCTTGTTCTATGGTTGGGTCATGGGGGTAGCAGCTTAAGCAGGGATGCTCAAACATCTCTTTCTCCAGCCAGTCCCTCCAACTCTTCTGGGAGGACTCCCCAGGCCAGCCGGGAGACGTACTGTCTCCAGCATGTCCTTAGTTTTGCTGAGGGTCTCTTCCCAGTTGGACATGCCCATAAAACCTCCCCAGGAAGGTGTCTAGGGGCATCCTTACTAGATGCCTGAACCACCTCAACTGGCTCCTCTCAATGAGGATTGATGGAGCAGACAAACAGGGAGCTAGTGGAAATTGCGCCACTGTTAGTCGAAAACCACAAGGAGGGAAACGTGTCAGGAGACAGAGGGAGAAGAGGAAAGTCAAGAATGTAGTGTATCTAAAAAGGCTAGATTAGCTTCAGAGCTCCACTACAGTCATATTTAAATAACGGGTTCTCACTTTTTCGAGCTACTTACAGATATGTGACAGAGGTACTGTGTTGTCGATGGTTTAATCAGTGACATGAGACGTTAATTTTCTTTGACCCATCAAAATAAATGTGGTCATTTATTAACAGAATCAAAATTTAACATCAAAACATTGTACACTTGATTAGACTGATCGGCTCTGATTAATAAAACTTGGCACATTTTACTTAATAAAAACAACAGACATTTCTGAAGATATCTGGATTAATTACTGGCAAGATAGAAGTTTGAAGATGGGAAATGAAGGAGTTTAAATGTAGAGAAAATGTGGAGGAAGATGTATGTCTGTAGACCAGAACAACACGCTCCTTTAAAGCGCAGTTCGCCCGCGGTACACTTGTAGTGAAGCTCGTGACGACTCTTTACCTTGGCAGAGGATGAGTCAGCTGCGGTCAAGAGGTCCCTGGCACGCTACCTTTCAGCGTCTCCTCAGGGCGGCTGCGACTCGGCAGAAGTCGTGAGATACTCCGTTCTACAGAACAACTTCCTCAGAAGTTGTAGGGCATTCACCGGGTGGAGCCACAGCGAGGCATCGTGGCTCCTGAAGAGATGGATGACTCCATCAGACTGGAAAACTGAGTCCCAAGTTCCACTCAGCAGTGGAAAAACTCCAGAACTACTCCACAGTACTCCAAGAGACTCAGAAGAACTTCAGAAGAACTCTGAGGAACTGACAGTTCCAGGAAGTGTCGACTTTTAAAGAGTTCTGCTTCCGGTCACTTTTAGGAAGTCCTGATTGGTTGAAGGAACCAACAGGGGTGTGGTTCTAGTGATGTCAGAGGGTTTTTACAAGTCGAGAAAACAGCAGAAATGTTTAGGAACAGACAGAGAAATGTTTTGGCGAAGTGACTAACACTGCAGGTGCCAGTTCTCTTATTTACTGTCTGAGAGTTTAAAAAACACGACAGCCCGTTCTAACAACTTGTTTTTGACTGTCTCCAACTTTTGACCGACATCACTCTCTCATTCAGACAGAAGATCAAAATGCATAATTACTTTGTAAAATAGACATTTAACTTGATTTCTAATTTAAATGAGGTTTAAAAATCATTAATACTGTTTCACAGTTGATTTAAAATGAGTGGTTTACTTCAACATTTAGAAATGGTATGAACTAAACACTCTTCTGATTATCAAGATATTGTAAAATAGTAATGATAATATAAAAAAGAGAGTGTTCTTTCAATTGATTAGTTCAGGATACAATTAGAAAGTCTCTGGATGAGCTAATTTGTATTTCTGGATTCAAATCAATGAAATAACAGTTCCTGTCCCATGAAGGTCTTCAGAGGCAGGTTTTGGTAGGAGGCTGAGTTCACTACAGTAGGACTGAGGGTTGAAGCTCTAAATGTGGAGACAATGACAGGCAAAGGTAGAGAGCTGGCTGACATGATGCTGAGAAGGAAGGTAGATGTTTTATGTGTCCAAGAGACCAAGTGGAAGGGCAGCAAGGCTCACAGCATTGGATCAGGGTTCAAACTGTTTTACCATGGTGTGGATAGAAAGAGAAATGGGGTAGTGGTGGTCCTGAAGGAGGAGTTGGCAAATAATGTAGTAGAGGTGAAGAGAGTGTCAGATCGGGTGATGTGTCTGTACAGGTCCTTCTCAAAAAATTATCATATTGTGATAAAGGTCATTATTTTCCATAATGTAATGATAAAAATGAAACTCATATATTTCAGATTCATTGCACACCAACTGAAATATTTCAGGTCT